TATATATATATATATATATGAGAATTAATTATTAAAGAAAATTAATTTTTTGAAAAAATTTTTCACATTGAAAAGAAATTGATTTACATGAATTGTTTCCTTATATATATATATATATATTTAAAAAATTAATTTATATAAATTATTTCTTCATATATGTGTATATGTGTGCACATAAATGAAACAATTAATGTAATTAGTTAATTTATTTCCAATTTTCTTTTTTCATATATATATATATATAATCTCCATCTTTTTCTTTTATATATACTTATGAAGAAGGAAACAGGTTGCGTAAATAAATTCCTAACTAATAATTAATTTCTACATATATATATATATATAGACAACGCGCACATTGATCCTGTTATAAAAATAATATATATATATATATATAAAAATGGATGAGAATTAATTATTGAAAATAATTTAAATTACGTGAGTTATTGCCTTTTTTCATATAGGTATATGTGTAAAAAAGGGAAAAAAAAAGATAGGAATTAATTTTCAGAAATAGATTGACTTATCTAAATTATTTCCTTGTTGATAAATATATATACAAGAAAAGATGGGGATTACGCACACATATATAAGAAGCAAAGGAAATTGAAAAGAAATTGACCTACATAAATTGTTTTTAATTTTTCACACACACACACACATATAAATAATTTACTCAAGTCAATTCATTTTTAATAATTAATTCTTATATTTTTTTCTTTTATCATATATATATGTGTGTGTGTGTGTGTGTAGGAAAAAGGAAACAACTCACGTAAATTAATTATTTTCTAATAATTAATTTTCATATATATACATTTTATATATGGAAAAGGAATTAATTTACATAATTTTTTTTTCTAATAACTACACTCCATATGTTCCCTTCCCTTTTTTCATGTATACGAGGAAAAAGAAACAATTCACACAAATTATTTCATAATAAATTTTTACAATAACAAATCTCAATATACATACATTTCATATATGGAAAAAGAATTAATTTACGTAATTTTTTTCTATATATGAGGAAAAAGAAACAATTCACATAAATTATTTTACAATAACAAATCTCAATATACATAATTTTATATATGGAAAAAGAATTAATTTAAATAATTTTTTTCTAATAACTATACCCCATATATTCCCTTTTTTCATATATAGGACAACAATGAAACAATTCACATAAATGTTTTTACAATAACCAATTTCTATATATATATATATATATATATTTTTTATGGAAAAATAATTAATTTACATATTTTTTTCTAATAACTACACCCCATATGTTCCCCTTTTTTCATATATATGAGGAAAAGGAAACAATTCACATAAATTATTTTACAAATTTTTTTTACAAATATCCATACATTTTATATATGGAAAAGAATTAATTTACGTAATTTTTTTTCTAATAACTACACCCCATATGTTCCCTTTTTATATATACGAGAAAAAGAAAACAATTCACATAAATTATTTTACAATAAATTTTTTTACAAATATACATACATTTTATATATGGAAAATAATTAATTTATATAATTTTTTCTAATAATTACACCCCATATGTTCCCTTTTTTATATATACAAGAAAAAGAAAAAAATTCACGTAAATTATTTTACAATAAATTTTTTTGTAAGTATACATACAATTTATATATGGAAAAAGAATTAATTTACGTAATTTTTTTCTTATAACTACATATGTTCCTTTTATATATATATATATATATATATATATGAGGAAAAGGAAACAATTCATGTAAACAAATCTTATATTTCCTTTATACACACACACACACAAAAGGAGAAGGAAATAATTCATATAATTTAATCATTTTCCATTAAATAACTTTTCACTTGTTTTTCACATGTGTACGTGTAAGTGGGCGTGCGTGCGTGTGTTTTTTTTTTTTTTTCTTGTGGGGAGGGGGGAGTAAAGTGATGGGACACTTATAAACTTCTTCTTACAAATTTGATCAGGTAAATTAATTTTTTTAATAATTAATTCTCACCTATTTTGTTTTATGTTTATAAATGAAACAATTCATATACATTGTTCTTCTCTAATAATCAATTTTTGTATTTTTTCATATGTGTATATATATGTGGAGAAAAAAATAAAAATGATGGGATGTAAATCAAATATTTGAAACAATAATAATTGAAAACCCCTTTTTTACAAATTAGTTTTGTTTTGTAATATAAAAAATTAGCAAATTATAAGATTTTCTAACTACTATTACTATTCAAATGAGAAATAATTGTCAAAATTAATTTTAATAATTCATATTTATTTTTTGATACTTTGTATTTAAATTTGCTTTGAGTTTATTTTCATATTAATTCTTTTGAAAAATCACAAAAAATGAATAACAACTAATTAACATTAAAAAAATATAAGTAATAAAATTTTATTTTTTATATTTTTAATAAATTTTAATTATAATTCTATTTTACAAATGCATTATTTTTCTTGTTCAAAAATGTAATAACTAATATTTTTTTATTTAATGGGTGAGTAGATAAGTATGATAAAATATTTGTAAAAATGTTTTCTCTTCTTTTTTTTTTGTTTTTATTATGTTCATTTCTATTGGCCAGTTCCATTCGATGTCAAACCGGGCCAATCTTGTTGCAGGGAAAAAAAAAGAAAGAAAGAAAGAAATGTGGACCCCCCACTAACCAGCCGTTGCGATTGGACTGATCCGGACATCCACTGCCTGTGTGTACGTGTCAGCGGATGGGCGTAGCAGTGAACTAGAGCTTAGACCACCGAATTATTGCTCCATTAAATTTGAAAACTTTAATTAAAATAAAAATTTGAAAATTATTTCACAGAATCAATGTAAATATGAATATTTGCAAGAAATTGATTAATCATACGTTGTATACCCGGAAATTGAATTATAAAATAATAAAATTTTTGTATTTACTATCAATATCAATATTATTAATCCGTGGACTACGGTGAAAAAGAGTAATCTTTAGTCTTAGCTGTGATTGAAAATAATTGGAAAAAAAATGGTAAATGTTACGCGACAAAATTAACATCTGCAATTTATGTGATACAAAAGAGATTTATTTGTATGGACTATAAAACATGCAAGCTTAACTATATGTTTTTGATACTAAATTTTGATTTAACGACCTAGTAATTTTAACACTGATTAGAGGAGTATTAAGTATTAATTATTAATCAAACGGATGTTATAACTATTAATTTAGTAAAAAAAGTAATATTTATTTTCTAGAGTCATATATTTCAATTATGATATCAGTTGGTAATTTAAAACTTGGAATTTGCTGAAGAAAATAAAAAAATCGAGATGGATAAGAAGTAAAGCAATAATTATAATAAAAAATGAAACAGAAAAACAGAAGCGGTTGGTTGTGAGAGAGGTCACACCATGTGAAAGAAGACAAGGGAGATGGCCACAAAGAGTGGCGTGTAACTAGACGGAGAGAACTGCCAAGGCGGACGTGCCGTGCAACAGCAGAAAGAGAGAGAGAGACACAGAACTGCTTGACAACTCTCTGGTTTATGTAAATAAAGACAATAGCACCTTTCTCACGTTGATTGGGTAGGTTTGCATGAGTATGTTTAAAATCTTTTCAACTATTGAATTTTTTGAGGCTTAGTAGTAAGATTGGTTGTCATTATTTTACTAAAAATAATAAGAATAAAAATAAAAGAAAGAGAATAGTAATAAAATGGTAAAAGTTACAATGAATCAAGTGTTTTGCTTAAAATATATGAAGCTCTATAATTGAACCAAAATTAATTATTTGTAATTTAGACGGGTGTGTTTCCCTTGTTTTAAGTAAAAATGTTATGAATTTTATCTTTTGTTTATTTAGTTAAATATTCAAAATAGTCATTTAATTTAAAATATTATTTTCTATCATATAATTTATTTTTTGTAATAAATCTAATTTTTATAAATCCGACTCTTTGATTATACAGCGACTCAGTGAGCTCAATATTTTTATTTTATATTTTATTTCTTTCTTTTCAATTATATTTTACTTTTCAAAATCGTTCAATTTACAACAAGTTGAGAATTTCATAATTTTTTTTAGAGAAATAAAAATTAGATAAAATAAATTGAACAAACACTTAATACCCTTCTATAAATAAAACATGGAAAGATTTTATATTTAAAAAAATTCATTTATAAAAGTGTATTAAGTATTTTAAAAATTGACTTTACTCGTGACGTGAACAAATAGGAATTAATTCCAAAAAATGCATATATTACCGCAATTACTATTAACCACCGTAATTGTTGTATATTATAGTGATTTGAATCACTGTAATCAAACTAATGTAAAACACAGTGGTTTGAACAATTATAATTAAACCGTCATAACTTAGGATGATTTGAATCATTGTAATAGGACTATTATAACTTGCAATAGTTTGAATCATCGTAAGTGAACCATCGTAATCAGACTATTATATTTTACTATAGTTCGAACTGTCATAAATTCTAATAGCTTAGACCACCATAACTGATGATAGTTTAAACTATCATATTTTACTTGTTGTAATTTATCCTTACAAATTACGATAATTAACCTAAAATTATTACATTATACCAAATAATGGATGCAATTTTGACAATTTTTGAACCCATCATATGAGTAAAAAATGATGGGTAGGAACCGCTATTTTATATTAATTTTTTAATAATTTTGATACAATATAATATATTTGAATTTAATTCTTATATCAAGAGAAGATTCTGTGCAATCTTATCAAAATATTGAGGATTATTTAGACTTTATTCCACCAAAAATTAATAAATAGAAACGCATTGAAAGAGAGCTTAGAAGAAGGAAAAAAACAATTCGGTTTTGTTCTTTTTCTTATCCATGCAATGGGATTAACTTTTACCGCCAGCTCAGAGTGAATCATCCTTCCAAGTGTTATAAATATGGGCTACTTGGCACCTCCATTGCATCTTCTATCTCATATAGTTTTGTAGATACACATAGCTCACTGTAACCAATCTAGAGTTCTAGCCATGGCTGCATCTTTCTCCGTCCCTTCAGCGGTAAGACTAGAGAGCTCACTTTTCTTTTTTTTCTTTGTTTCATCTCTTTCTTTGTTTCATCTCTTGATGGAGGTGGTATTCTTGTTCAATTATAAGCTTCTTACTTGGATTCATGTTGCCCTCATCTATCGGATGCAGTTGATAACTGTATTATATTCTTCAATGATCTTGATTACTGGCATTTCCTATCACACCCTGCTCTGTTTGTAATATCAGAAGAAATAGAATTTTCTGTTTTTTTCTTTTCCTGCCATTTTTCTTTCTTTGTTATTCGATTTGAATTTTGTAGTCTCTGATTGAAGATGCTTGTTTCCAACTGAGTCATCCTTATTTAGCTTAAAATCAAGACAGCATAGTTTTTCGTTAAAATATGAAACAGAGAGATCTAACGTGAGCTGATTTCAAAAACCAGTTGCTCTCTTCCAATGTATTTTGGTATTTTACCTCTGCATGACATTCTTAGCGGTGAGATTCCAACTCCAGTGAGATCTCAGCCGTTGCTTTGCCAGAGCATGACAACAGCTGCAGAGGATAGCTCATCCCCAATACAAACTTTTCCAGAAATGTTTTTGTTGACAAATCTTCGACTTATTTTTACCTTGATTTATTGGCGCTTTCTTAGTTACCCTAAATCATCCATTTAAATTTTTTAGTAATTACCGATATTTTTTTGGGGGATTGGTTGCTGGGGGAACAGATCATGGAGGAAGAAGGGAGATTCGAATCAGAAGTATCAGAGGTGCAAGCGTGGTGGAACTCGGAACGATTCAAGCTCACTCGCAGGCCATACTCGGCCAGAGACGTGGTGGCACTGCGGGGCAACCTGAGGCAGAGCTACGCCTCCAACGAACTGGCCAAGAAGCTGTGGAGGACCCTCAAGACCCACCAAGCCAACGGCACCGCCTCCAGGACCTTTGGCGCTCTAGACCCCGTCCAAGTGACAATGATGGCCAAGCACCTGGACACCATCTATGTCTCCGGCTGGCAGTGCTCCTCCACCCACACCTCCACCAACGAGCCCGGCCCCGACCTCGCCGACTACCCCTACGACACCGTCCCAAACAAGGTCCAGTTATTTGTTGACCATAGGCTTATCTAAAACATTTGCCTGTTTGGATTTGCTTTAGGATACATTATTTTGCTTTTGAAAAGCGAAAACTCATTTGCCAGGTTATGTTAAGAAAAAAGACAAGTTAGAAATCGATTTTCAGAACATATTGTATTTTTGGAAACAGATTGCCCCTTTCGAAGACAAATTTGTTATCTCGTCTAAAGACAAATTTGTTTCGTTAACAGGTTGAGCACCTTTTCTTCGCCCAGCAATACCATGACCGCAAGCAGAGGGAGGCTCGGATGAGCATGAGCCGCGAGGAGAGGGCCAGGACCCCCTTCATTGATTACCTGAAGCCTATCATCGCCGACGGTGACACCGGGTTTGGCGGAGCCACTGCCACTGTCAAGCTCTGCAAGCTCTTTGTGGAGCGTGGTGCCGCCGGGGTCCACATTGAAGACCAGTCCTCCGTGACCAAGAAGTGCGGCCACATGGCCGGAAAAGTCCTCGTGGCGGTGAATGAACACATCAACAGGCTCGTGGCTGCGAGGCTCCAGTTCGATGTGATGGGCACTGAGACTGTTCTCGTGGCCCGAACTGACGCTGTCGCGGCCACTCTTATCCAGACGAATGTGGACACTAGGGACCACCAATTCATTTTGGGCTGCACCAACCCCAACCTCAAAGGCAAGAGCTTGGCAACTGCTCTTCAAGAGGCGATGGCTGCAGGGAAAACAGGACCTGAGCTTCAAGCCTTGGAGGACAACTGGCTGGCCCTGGCACAACTGAAAACTTTTTCGGATTGTGTCACCGATGGAATTAACGGATTGAATATAAGCGAGGCCGAAAAGAGGAGGAGATTGAATGAGTGGGCGAATTACTCGAGCTTCGAAAGTGTCTTTCGAACGAGCAGGGCAGGGAGATAGCCGAGAGACTTGGCCTTCACAATCTGTTCTGGGACTGGGACTTGCCAAGGACTAGAGAAGGGTTCTATAGGTTCAAGGGCTCAGTAAACGCAGCAATTGTCCGTGGCTGGGCTTTTGCTCCCCACGCCGATGTTATCTGGATGGAAACTTCAAGCCCTGACCTGGTCGAGTGCACGAAATTCGCTGAAGGGGTGAAATCAATGCGCCCCGAGATCATGTTGGCGTACAATCTCTCCCCGTCTTTCAATTGGGACGCATCGGGGATGACTAACGAGCAGATGAGGGATTTCATCCCTAGGATTGCTAGGTTGGGTTATTGCTGGCAGTTCATTACTCTTGCCGGCTTTCATGCAGACGCACTTATTATTGACACATTTGCTAAGGACTTTGCTAGAAGGGGAATGCTGGCTTATGTGGAGAGGATTCAAAGAGAGGAGAGAAACAACGGGGTTGACACACTGGCGCATCAGAAGTGGTCCGGTGCCAATTATTATGACAGGGTTTTAAGGACTGTCCAGGGTGGTATCACTTCTACCGCTGCCATGGGAAAAGGCAAGTTACGACTTACTATCTTAAATACTATATTCCCTTCACTCTATTCTCTTTATTTTGTTGTTAAAATTGAAAAAGATTTTATGTGGGTTTTGTTCAGGAGTGACCGAGGAGCAGTTCAAGGAGACTTGGACTAGGCCAGGAACGACGGATCTGGGAGATGGCAGCGTGGTGATTGCGAAGTCGAGAATGTAGGAGGGGCCTTGTTTTGGTCATCCAAGCAAGCATGGATCCAAATTTCTCTTCGTTTGAATTTGTGAAACTTCTAATAACAATATTTATGCTCTAATAATCATGTACTTGGTCTTTGGTTATACTCCGGGCAGTTTTCAGACCGTACTTCTCCTCGATTGTTGCGGTTTTGGGGATGTAAGAGCTTAATTTGAAAGAAAAATTTGTTCATCCTCTCGTCTGCGTGGATCTAAATATGTGAATTGCTTTAATAAAAGGTGTTTCAATTTTCTCCTGTCTTATTCACTTCATTGAACTATATGGTTCTAATTTTGAGTAATGTAAGATAAAATAAAATTATTTTATCTTATGCCTTATTCAGTACATTAATATAGCATAGTAGGATAAAGCTCGCGTAACTCTTTCTATCTCTCTCTATCTCTCCTTCTCGTACTAAAATCAAAAAAAATTATCTTACGGGAGTAGTCTGTTAAAATTATAAGGATTTTAAATGATAGAAATTTTACAATAATATCCTTTATTTTCCTTCTCTATCTGTTGCCTTCTTCTTCTTCCACCATCCCAATTTGCAAAGATTCTTTTGCCAGTCGTCTTCTTTCTCTTCTGACATAGCCACTGTTCGATTTCTCTTCCCTCCTGACAGAGATTTCGCCTCCTTATAAAGATTCACCTCCTTCTTTGTCTGTACCTCTCCAAACAATGCTTAGCAAGATCGGTAATACCTTGTGCCTTGCTGCAACAATCAGTGCTATCACGACCCGAAAAATCGAGCTGTGACTGGCGCAAGAGTTAGAATAAATTCCAACCCTGCAAGCTCTACATATAACTAAATATATAACTGAAACAGAATCTCATATAAAATCAAAAATAACATTAAATTCAAAATCTCAACTAGACTATCAACATATATTCGTAGAAATCTATCTGTAAACAAATGGAGTTATCTATGAAATCCAGAAATACAAAATCTAACAGAGTTGAAATAATTAACTTTTCTAATTGATAACAGAAACAAGCAAACTTCTCTAAGTAGCGGAATCCAATTGAGTACCGACTCTAAATCTGGAAAAAAAAAGGGTGAGTCTACAGATATAGTGAATAATAACATGCATTTATGAGAATAAAGAACATGTATAACATTTAAAATCAAACCATTTTGCCATTTAACAAATCTCTTACATTTTTCTGAAACTTTATTGTATAACAAATCATTTACAGATATCGAAAATCTTTCAATGTATCAGATAATTTTCATATATCAGAAAGACTTTTCTGTATAACAAATCATTCACAGATATCAGAAATCAAAATTTTAAACCAAAACATGTTCATAATTTAAGGAGTTCGTAATCTTGAACGTAACATATATCGGGAAATAGAACGCTGACACACAGTCAGCCGATAATCAGGACGGTGACACACAGTCAACCCATATAACAAAATGGCGACACACAGTCAGCCTATATAATAGAATGGTGACATATCAATATGCCCGAATAACAAGATGACGACATATCAGTCTACTCGGATAATAGGATGACGATATATCAGTTTGCCGGATAACAAAATGGCAACATATCAGCCATGTCGAATCACAAAACGGCAGCATATCAGCCATGCCAAGAAACAGAAATCAAAAAGTTTAGCACTATTACCCCTGCTAGATGGGGACCAGTACAGGGTGCAAATCAGTCTAATGCTGATAAATAGAAATCATATAACCTAGTACCATCACCCCTGCTAGATAGAGACCCTGTGTAGGGTGCATATAGTCTAATGTATACTGTTGTTAGCTACAGTATTCTAGAATTTGAAACTCCCTTTAAAAACAATTTTTTAGAAATATCAGAATAATTTAACAGAACATTCCATTTTTCAGAATAAATTAAAGCCATTTAACAGAAGTTTTCCAAAATCAAACAGAATCAGTTTAACATCATTTTCTATGTACAGGGTCAAACATAATTAACAAATATTCCTTTCCAAACAATTTTAGAAATGCCATCCATGTCCCTTGTTTCACTTCTAAAATGGAATTCAATCAAATTTTTTGGAAAACAAATATATCATTCAAAACCAGATTTTTCATAGATATAGAAAATATTTAAATGCTCATAAATAAACATTATTATTTATAGAAATGACGAAAATTGAAAATCCAATCTCTGATAATATGGGTTCCACAAGTATCATACGGACAATCTTAAATCATAAAATAATAAATGTCTTAATTTATGTCTTTAATATATCCAAGAATCGTATAAATAAAATTTTCTAATCAAGGAGGTGAATAAACTTCTAGATTTCCGTGCTCGAACCTATACCAAGGCCACTAATGTCTCGAATGATCAACTAAGCCATGAATCGAGTGATAAAACCTTGAATCGAACTCATAAAATATAAAACTAGTTTATTTAACCTATAAATTAATAATTAGAATATTAAACTATCTTGAACCATTTATTATAGTGTGTAAACCGGCCATGATTTGGCTTCTAATACACTAAACTAGAATTGAACCGGCCTTTAATATGGTGAACCACCCCTGAACCGGCCTTTAATATAGTGAACCGCCCCTGAACCAGCCCCTAAAGCAATGAACTGGACTTGTAACCCACTGAATCGGGCTCCTATAGCCCTAAACAACTCATTTTGGCACTGAACCGGGACAATTATTCACTAAATCGGCTAATTTACATGCTGAACCGGCCGATTTGATGCTTAATTTCCCTTGGACAGGGCTTAAAACAATAATATTTCTCCTAAACCAGTCTTAAATTAATTAGTTCAACCATTTAGTAAATTACTGTGCTTTGAATCGGAAAAGAATCGATCGAAATCCATGTGAACTGGCCAATTTTTCCCTTTATTCTTTTGTTTTCTTATTTATTTTATTTTATTTATTTTATTCTTATAATCTGAGATCTTGGGTTTGGATTCAACCCAACCCTAATAAATTTTCTAGCCCAGCCATGGCCCAATTTTTTAAACTCATTCAATAACCTTGGACCAGGCCTAGTCCAAATTAGTATGGCCAGCCCAATTTAAAGAAGGCCCAACCCGGTGACCCTGTTTTATGAATAACCTCGCTCAGGTAATCGAGTCTAAACAGACCCGATTATTAGTCGAGCTCCTCTTCCAACCTAGATGATCAAAATCTCATAAAAAAATTCATCACTAACCTCAAAACCCTTAAGTCAACGATGAAGTGACAATCCAGGTGGCTTTTTCCACGAGAGGCTTGCAGCAATTTCGCCTAATTTAGCTGTTCTTCTGTAATTGGTGGAGGCAATGGATATCGGCAGATTTTTTTCTTGAAACCCCTCACTGATCGAAACAATTTCATGAAATTAATCTAGCAATCTTAATCGAAGAACTTATATTGATGTGTTTCACACTCAATTTGTAATCAAAATCCCATGGATCTTGCTAATTGATCAAGGAAATTTTCTTTTTCATTATGGGAAGGGGATTTGGGACTGAAAATCTAGATCTTGATTTTGGGATTTTGCTATTAGGTCCCTGTCCCTTTTATTTTCTTCTGATTTGGTCCTCGAACTCTAGATCCTGTTCAGTTTAGTCCCTACCCCTCTTCTTTCTCTCTCTCTTTTTTTTAAGCTATACTAATACCCCAAAATATTGCGGTATTACAAGTGCCTTGCCTCACCACTGCAAGTTTGTTGTCTTCTTCCTATTTTGACATAGCTAAGGTCCATCCAATTTGACAGAGATTTTGTCCCCCTTCAGAGATTCTTTTTCACCTCCCTCTCTACCCATACCTCTCCAAACAATGACCAACAAAATCAACAATGCCCTATGCCTTACCACCACAATTGACACCTTGCCTCAATGCCACAATCAATTGCAGACCCTCTATCTACAAACCTAGTTGATAGAACTGGGTTTGGTTGCAAACTGGGGACATGTTGGTAATTTGCACCTTTTATCCAGTTTTATATCTAATTTAGAACTAAACAATTATTAAAACAAGGGACAAGAGAGGGAGAAGGATAAAAACATTGTGTAAGTAAAATAATTTTATCCTATCTTGTCTTTTCTTATTTATCAAACCAAATAGGGCCTGCAATGTAATATTTTTTGTCTTTGACATTCTCTTTGACACCAACACCGTCAAACCCACCATTATATTTATTCATAAATTCTATAATTTTAAATATTAAAATTTTCAAAATATTACTATTATGATAATTAATTTTTAATGTTTTAAATATTTAAATTACTATATTGTAATTAATAATAAATGTTATTAAATGTATTTAATTTTTAATAGTTAATTAAAATATCTCTAAATCTAACAAAATAAAAAATTACTAATTATGAATAAATAATTTAAATTTAATAAAAACTATTTAAAGACTGCAATTTGAAATCCATTCATTTGCAATTTTTTTTTGTTACATAATAATATCAAAAAAAAACTAAAACTTGTCATATATAACTATAATTAGAATACAATAAGTCATAACTTAGTAAATCAAATTTTTAATAAAAATTTTTGCAACCATAGTTAAAAATAATATAAATAACTGCAATGATGTCCATTTTTTATTTAGTTAAATTGAGCAAGTGGTCAAAATTAATTTTGTAAAATTTAGCTGCTTTTCAATTTAGTATCTAAAATTAAATATATTTAATAATATTTGTTATAAATTATAACATATTACTTTTAATTTTTATAATTTTAATAATTAACTATTCTAATAATAATATTTATAATAATTTTGTATTTAAGATTAAAAAGTTAATGGGTAGATATAATGGTTGAATTAACAATATTAGTATTTAACGA